CTCTTTAAGAACCTCCTACCGTTTCTGACACTCCCACTTCAGCACGTCTGCACAACAGCACTTTCGGGGGAGGGGTGCTSTGTGGGGCGGGAGCTCGGCAGCTGACTGAGCTCCAGGGAGGAGCTAGGTACAAACAAGTGATGCTTTGTACCAGCAAGTGTTTAGGGAGCTCTACACGGCTATACCACAGGAGAGTCAAGGATTTCTCAAACGCATGAATGAGTCAAAGCAACACTCTGGATATGTATTTGATGATGGAATGACATTATAACTTGATAGAAAGCTCAAAAGGGCTGATTTTAAATAACCCCCCTCCCTTCCCCACTTAAATGCATTGCACATATACATATAGCAGCTTATATTCTTAATACTTTGAGTTGTAAGAACAACTAGTTTGTCAAGAACCATCTAGTTACATACCTCGCACCGATACACCACAACTACACACATAATGTTTTTACATCATTCAGGACTTTATTGGTTGAGAATTGGGTCACCCGGTAGGTGAGGTCATGTCCCCGCCTTTAACGATGTCATTTACCAGAGGCATGACTCAGTTCTGAAAACACAGTTAAATGCTCCTGTTTTGGCTTTCTGTACAATTTATTTATTTTTCTTTCCCTGAGTCACATTCTGTGAGTGTGCGCACCAGACATATGATAATAAACTATGCACTGATACATTGTTTGCTTGTTTTTCTAGTGCTGGAGTGGGGAGAACAGGAGTCTTCATCACCCTCAGTATCGTCCTGGAGAGAATGCGATATGAAGGTGTTGTTGATATCTTCCAAACAGTGAAGATGCTCCGGACACAAAGGCCAGCTATGGTCCAGACTGAGGTCAGACAACACAAAACAAACAACTAAAATCCTTGTAACAAATTTATGTTTTCACTTGAAACATTTATGTATTTTTCTTTTCTGCAGGATGAGTACCAATTCTGCTATCATGCAGCACTGGAGTACTTAGGAAGCTTTGATCACTATGCAACGTAAAAAGCCATCTCTTCCCCCAGAATTCTGTTGCCCCGACCTCACCCAACTCAACAGTTTCCTGAGCCATAGAAACTTTGAAATCTGAAACAACAACAGCAGCAGTCGGAAATTTCACCACCGCTCTAATTCCGACGCACCAAACAGGATCCGGTAGATTTTTCTCGTAGAAAACACCCCCCAAAACAAGCAGTCCAGAGTAATTCCAATTGAGACAAAAAAAAAGGAACAGAAGAAAATTTGCACACCGTTTCAACAAAATAAAGATTCTCAGCAAGGAGTAACCAGAAGCTGTGGCTCAAACTGTGGGGCGGTTTATCGATCTACGTGTCAGACTGCTTACCTTACCTCAAGTGTTTCGATGTGGAGGACGTTGTAAACATTCGTGGACATTTCTCTTTTCAAGACTATCTTTGTGATACAGCGGTGAACAAGCGACAGGTAACGAAGGAAAAAGAAAGCAAAAAAAAAAAAAACAACCACAAAAAAATTTAAAAATCAAGAAGCAGATGGATGTAGCCAAGACTGGGAAAATGTGCTTGTTTTGGATGTAAAAAAGTATTTCTATCAACTATTTTTTGTGAGTGTTATTCAGCAAAATGGCCAAATTGCAGCCACCTATGTAAACACAACTGGCTTTCCCCAAACTCTGATCATTCAGTCATTGACAGAACAAGAATTACTCACATTTGGCAGTGAAAACACAACGAGGTTCCACTTATATTATGCATAGTTCACGTGGAAATTTCCTCAACGGTTATAGTAAACATCGACAAAACTGCCTGTTCAGCCCTAAGAGCTTTAAAAGGCATTCCCGGTGGTTTTCAAATAGGAAGTAACACATGTAAAATGTGTTTGTTATACGAACTGTGRACTTGCATTAAATCTGTATCCTCGRCCAGTTACCCAGAGGAAAAGTGAGAAGTATTTGCAGACCTGAAAAGTTCTCCAGAAAGTTCATGTTTCAGTGAACTGATGAATCAATTTGGAACAACTTTTTTGGCTTGGATGTCCGAARTGAGAGAAATGGCAACGTTGTACCATGATTTTTTTTTTGTTTTATACTTTTTTTTTTACAATCCCTTCTCTCTTTGGAGGCGTGGGGCCTGCAGCATCAACATTCACCATCRGGTGGGGGTAAAAGGCTTTGGAACTAATGGATCAACAAAACAAGGAATGCCACAAAGTCAAGGCTTTCTTTGTGTACAGTGACCAATGCTCATCATCTTTGTTTGGAACTGTTTTGTCTTAGGAGGACAAAATCTGTTGTTTTTTTTATTTTATTAATTTTTTTCTTTTTTTTTTACAATCCCTTCTCTCTTTGGAGGCGTGGGGCCTGCAGCATCAACATTCACCATCAGGTGGGGGTA